ACCATTGGTTTAGTTTTAATGTTTTTTGTATGTTATTATAATATTTTTTGTTCTTTCAAATGCATAATTTCTTTCCTCCAAGGCATAGGGAATCATACACTGCAATGATGACAAATTCAATACATGATCAGTAAGTAATTTGACATATACTTTAATTGAAAGGTTATTATTTGTGATGATTTATAAATATGTTACTTTGTTTTTTCACACAGGTTCAAATCAGGATGTAAGTAAGAGTTATGGGTAGATGACAATTTTGTTGAGGCATTATTTTTGGAGTAATTTTTTTTTGGAGAAATTTTTTTGAGGAGGATGTATCTAGATATTTGTAGACATTATTGAAATTTTATTGAAGAGGATGTATGTAGGGAATTTATATTCACATGATAATTAAAATTCTCACAATAATGTTGGCTAGTATCTCACAACATACTTTTTAATCTATAATAAGGATATGCATTTAAGCTTACTAATAATTCAAGGAATATCTCACAGAATACTTTTTAAACAAACTATATTAAGTATAAAAGGCAGATTATATAATATAAATATAAGCTTCCTTCAACTTATCTCACGGCAGATTTACTGCCTATTACTTTATGGCATGGCTGCTAATCAAATGCACAAATTTCTCATGACATTACCACAAAATATAGAGCAACAAAATGTCTTGGCTGCTAATAAAACTACTAATAACCATTTCTTTTAGTATTTGTGAGTATGCTGAACAATTTTTTTACAACAAACATCACAAAGAAAATACATAATCACAAAGAAAATACATAGAAAATACATATACAATCAACACAATATCCACACTCACATACAACCCCACACACACCAAATGTTCGACCATATCTAAATTCTTCCAGCAATCAACTTCGACAGGCATCAGGTTCGACTGGCATCAGGTCTGACAGGCATCAGGTCTGACAGGCATCAGGTTCGACAGACAATCAACAACAATCTGCACAAAGGAAAATAAATAGACGAATAGGAGTGGACAAACAACCTGTCACAATTACATAAATTTCTTTAGAAACAAGTTTGTATATTTATAAATCACGTAAAAGGCCCAGATAAAGGTTACATACCAATTGGGTTCAATCAAATTTGTATATCTTAGTAAAAAAAATTCATATAAGCTGCAAAAATGTTGACCTTTCGAACATATTATGATTTTGACAGTACAAATTTACAAATGTCGTATACAATCTCTGTCCTGAATAAAGACATCAATTCTTGCCAGTCCTTTTTCTCCACCCAATTTACCTTCTCTTTTTGAATAAGTGTTTCCATATATTTACAAACATAAATACCGCAATCATAAATATAACTTTGCACCGGTATTCCCCTGGTCATTACAACTGACCACTTTCTCAAATTATCCTCGAAAGCTTCACTGGTATCCTTTAAGAAATGCTCAATTTGTATATTTAAAGATGATTCATTAAATAAATATTTAAAGATGACTCATTAAATAAATATTTAAAGATGATTCATTAATTAAAGATGAGTCATTAACTACATATTTAAAAATGCTCAATCAGTCAATAATTAATACTTACAATGCTTTGGGAGATGGCCGAATGCATCATGTTGGGTAAGGAGTCATAAACTCTCCATTTACTCTCATTTAGTGTCCCAACAAGGAGTATCCAATGTTGATTATTTATTACAGGTATCAGTATTAACTCTACATTCTGGATAGCATCCTTTGTAATGTGTGCGGCGAAGGGTTTGACGTTACCTTGTCTATACAACTGTATCAAGGAGAACATAATACCATTCAGCTCATGGTCATGTAAGATTGATATTAGCAGGAATAAAACTTGTCTACATAACTTTATAAGCTTACCCAGTAGCATGACGATACATATATGTACGATCTATATAGATGTGGTGCATTACATCGCTTATTCTCGATTAACATGGCAAAACAATCAACCTGTTCATTGCCTAACCAACAATTTCCCATAAATTCATCGAGATAACGTCGCGGCATCGAAACATGTCCCATATCAATTAAAAGGTCACCCCTGCATTGGAAATATAAAATTATTTTAGTTAAATGTTACAAAATTAATGATGAACACTAACAAAAATTATGTGAACTAACAAGTCCATATATTTTCTACAGCATATGTCAATTGTTTCCTACATATAATCAGGAATTTCATTCTTAGCAGGAAAGTTGATTAGTTGTGGTGCTGGCTGAACTTGTAAGATAAGCAAACCATAATATTTACTGCACATATTTAAATAATTAAAAAAAAACATTCCATACCTTGTCTGGTTAGTCCTCACTAACATAATGACTGACTGGTTGGTTCTCCTCATCCTTATGTACAAATTCAACCTCTTCTTGAGATTTGGTTCGCTGGTCTACAATCGCTTTCTCTTCTTGTATATTTTCAACTGATTCCTTTATGGGTTCTTTTTTCACTTTCTTTCAAAAACAACATATGGGGAGCTAAGAGACTTTTTTCTTCTATTTAGCCTATCCTTAATTCTTTTGATCAAGCTTCTTTGTGGGGATTCTTTAACCCATCTTCCCGAAAATTTCACATCTAATTGTTTAATTGTTTTCTCTACTCTTATGACATGACACTTTAGGTCGGTCACCGTACCCTCTAACATTGTCAATCGACTATGAACAGAGACTTGAAATTCCAAAACTATATTTTTTAACTGGTTTAGACGACTGTCAACGAATACTTGAAAATCCAATAAAATTTTTTGTTGGTATTTCAATAAATCGTGGATCTCTTCAAATCCAAATGTTTGTCCCATCCTTTGACTCGACTGTTCATATGTATGACTGTCGGATGGTTGAGTACCAGTATAATAATGTACTATAGGGGAGACCTTAACATGCATGGGTGACTGTGGACTGGAAAGTGTTTCCTGTGGGAGAAACTGTGGGAGAAACTTTGCTAGCCTGAAGAGCTCTACAAAGGAATTGGCAAGCAGGTGATTCACTTTCCTTTAAATCAAGAAAATAATCATACACCTGCCAAAAAAAAATGACACACAATCAGGGGCAATCAATGTATGACATGACTACATTACCAACTACTTTTGAATTTTATTTAGGCTGAGCATGTTGAACACTAGTTGAATCTGTAAAGCATTCCATCTAACATTTACTGGTCATCTTAGCATTCGGGGTCTAGCCTCAGGAACTACTGGCATGACCAAGGAGGTGTGCTCATAAAACCAGAGCTATATGAAGCGTGTTAAAATAAATATTTGGTATGAAAATAAAAAATAATGAAAAGATATTTCAATAGTAATGTCAGAACAAACCGTTAAGAGTAAAACAAAACCAATGATATATCCAAGTGGCTGATCCGTCCTAATCTTCATAGCACATAGGTTCAATTGATCAATCAAAAAGCCACATACTGTCACAGGCCAATTATACGAGCTGAATGCTTCTACGTCGTCGCAAAGAGAAGACAGGTGCTTGGATATTCTAAAATTACTTGAAGCAAATAGTAAATTAGTCCATAAAAACTTTATTAATAATTCTATAAAACGATCAGAAGACTATCTTGGGTCAAAATTAATAAGTTAGGTCTTCATTTGTCTCACATCAATACTACAGGACGGAGCTTTATTCCAGTATGCGGGTGACCCTTTATTTGACATGTCTATCAGGAGGGCAACTTTGTCAGCATCAAATTTGAGCTCTTTCCCACCAAGCTGAAATGTCATTCGATCAATATTCCAACAGTTAATTATATGCATTGTCAGAATATGATCCTGGGGATACAGAGAGAGTTCAAAAAATTGAACCAAGCTCATGTTTTCCAACATATTCCACGTGTGTTCGTCGATAGTTGGCCGGACCTTATCCAGAGCTTCTCGTACTACAGATGGACGACACCTGCAATTCATTGATTTCGCGCTAAAAAATCTACATTTAAATTTAATGTATGTTAAACTATGTAAAAAATAATGAAAAAAAATCTCATACAAAATCAAACTCTTGTAATAAAACTATTCATTCTACCTAAACCCTAATTTCATAACCACTTTTCAAAATATAAAATTTAAAATCTTTTAAAAGTTTGGCTTAAAATTCACCATTCATACTTAATACACCTCAAGAAATTAAAATTCACCATTAAACAGTAACGAAAGCAAAATCTCAAATATACCTAGAAATTACCTTGGGTTGCTTAATGGATTCAGTGTCCTCCGTTTCACCGTTTTGGAGCAATCTAAATCCTTCTTCTTGCGTCCAGCCTTCGCCATTAGCTTTGGCAGCTCGACCTCAAGCTTCTTGGCATCCTCGACATCTGGCTTTTTCGCCTCGTCAATATAGGCAACATTCTCCTCTTCCAACGACGCCGTACCTTTTGCCGATGTCCTCCATTTTGAGCAAAACCCTAAACAATACCAATACCTCAACGTTTGAGTGAATGCAAACCCTAGGCGTGAACGAAAATAAAAATTCTTATTGTCCCTAAATTTTTTACTACGGGTATTTCATCGGTCGCGTCAAACGAAGGTTACATTCGCTATCTAGGTTACCGCCAGGTTACACGAATGTTTCACTTTCTCAGCCTACCACAAAGTTACAATTCCCGTGTTACAGAACAATTATTAGAGCTATCTTGGTTACTGGAGCGTCCTAAGGTTACAACAACATTATAAGCGCGGTTCATTTGTCTTGAGGTTACAGGAATATTACAGACCCTTTATTCGAGTTGTACCACAGTAATGACCCGCTCAGTTACATAAGCCCGTACGAGTCAGTTATAACTCCATAATAATCGAGCCGATCGGGCCCGACCTGCTACATTTGAAGTAAAGGTGGTGCTACACACTCCACTGATTTGTCAAGCCGCCGTCAAGCCGCCGTTCGCGTAGGACGTACGTAGGCAAATTTTTTGCCCGGTTTACCGAGAAACTACGATAGTTTTTATGTATGCGACACACTCCACTGATTTGTCAAGCCGCGTCAAGCCGCCGTTCGCGTAGGACGTACGTAGCAAATTTTTTCCCCGGTTTACCGAGAAACTACGATAGTTTTTATGTAGTTGTGCGTCCACAGGAATCGTCCCGATATATCCGCAAGCCTCCATCCGCGCCACCCCTCTCCTCTGCCGCGGATTCTTTGTGTCTCTCTATCATTCTCTTTCCGTCTCTATCCCGGTCCTATAAATTCATATTTACAGGCAATAAGGCAGCAAAACCCGTCTCTAATTCTCACGAATCTGTGGTCTTTTGATAACAGACGCATCTCTTCTGCTTCGCTGCACTGTTCTGTACTCCTCGCAGCAATGGCTGGAAACGACTGGATTAACAGCTATCTTGAAGCGATTCTGGATGCAGGGCCGTCTATCGACGCCTCCAAGTCCTCGCTACTGTTGCGAGAGAGGGGAAGGTTTAGCCCCACGAAGTACTTCGTGGAGGAAGTCATCACCGGATTCGATGAAACAGATCTTTACAAGTCATGGCTTCGGGTGAGCGGTCTTCTCGTTTCTCCTTTTTTTCGGAATCGGAAGCGATGGATATGGGGTTAATGGGGTTAAGCTTGGGCTTGGGATTGAACTGATTTTGCTATTGCGTTTTTTTTTTTTTGGGGGCTATTTGGGTAGGCTGCATCAACGAGGAGTCCGCAGGAGAGGAATACGAGGCTGGAGAATATGTGTTGGAGAATTTGGAACCTTGCCCGCAAGAAGAAGCAGGTTTGATCTATTTGCTTATGTTTGTACCAAAGCTTTGCTCTGATTAATCTTACTGTCGCGGGACTGGAAATTTTGTGGCTGGCTTTGATTTTTTGCCAAATTTGTTCATTTTTCATTTTTATGTAATTATGGTTGCTAACATCAATAGTTTGTACTTTCCAAATATTTTCTTAGAAGATGACGTGCTATTATGTTTGCTTTTGATGGTAGCTGTTAGAGACACCAGTAAAAGTACATGTTAGAGTTATCATTGGCTCTGTTGCTGCCTTTCATTGATTCTGGTGTACTAGATTTTAAGGTCCTGCGTAACACACTTCATTTTGCATAAGCAAGAAATCAGGACACTCTTTGTTGTTTGGATAATTCATCTATGTCAGATTGAATCAAAATTTAATTTGATGTACTACTTTCTTATTTCATAGTTTCCCCAGAAGGTGATCCCTGATGCAAAAATGTAATTGGAATCTTCTTTGTTATTGTATCTGTTAAATTTAGGAATTTATGTTATAAAAAATCTAAAGTGAAGCTGAATTTTATGTGAAGTTCTTATGTTTTGTATCATCTACATAGCCTGGTCAAATGATGAGAAATTTGATCGTAATGTTTTTACAATGATGGCATAGGTGAGCAAAATCTCATTGTACTAGTGTGGTATACATCCTCTCTTCAGCATCCATCCTCTTAACATTTTGTGCATCATATTTTTAATATTTCCATCTAGCTTTTAAACTCTAGTGAATTATCTTTTGTTGCGAGACTAAACTTAAATTTTACAATGTGTGTTTCCTTTCTTTTTATCTTTTGATCAGTCTTTTAGATTGCTTACTAGTTTTCCTTTATGCACTTTCTTACTGAAACAAGAGTATTTATTCTTTAGCCATCTATCTTTTTTCTTTGCACCCTTTCGATACGAAATACTAGCTTATATCCAAGGAAGTACAAAATATTTATCATATATCGAGCATACGGTATTTTGTTTTTCCTTTTACCGCAGTCATCATAAATATTGCAAACTAATTGCATCCTTAATGAAAATTGCATTGGCATTGTATCCTAAAACAACGCGGTGCTTTATTTCTAGGGTTCTTGATATGGCAGGTTTTCCTATCAGGTATTTTTGGTTTTGGTTAGGTTATTATCTTTAATTTCTTACCTCCTCATGACTAACAAAGCATTCTTCTTATTGCTTGTTTGATACTGCTCTGCAGCATAAAATAGTGTGTTCTATGGCTTGCTCATTGCACAGTGAGGCATTTTAAGGCATAGATGATGAAAATAGCATGTGCTATCTGTGCTTTAAATACACTACAGTGCATATTCCAAGGCACAAATAATGTATGCAATTTTACTTGGTTCAAAGGATGTGATGAGAATAAGGCTATCTTGTAGAAAATAAGGATGATGAAAAAGATGACATTGTGGGAGACGAGCATGGCAAAAATTAAGAGGTTTTTGGTTTATGATAATGATCATCATTCTAAGAATATTTTGAGTGCAGACCTTGAAAATATATATGGTCATCTTTCTTTATGAAAGGCTAAGGTCTAATTTCTTGCATTTTAATCTATATTATTTATCGCTACCCGCCACATTGTTTTCTTTGCCATGACAGTTTGTATTCATTCTCATTATCTCTTATTGACCTTGTGTTCCACTTATGTGAGATTGTCTTTTTTGTTTTATGTTTTTAGCTATTTTTTCATATTGGTGAATTATTAACATTATTTAATTTTCTTTTGTATTGTTTGTGCCAAGCTATATGCTGCACAATGCTTCAATGAATAATTGTGAATAGTGCATTGTTCACTATTGACAAACATCACTTGTTCATTGTTTTTTATCAGTGTCTGTGCATTTTACATAAAAAAATAAATGAAGAAATCCATTGATATCTATTTTCTTTCTGCTTTTAATTAAATGATGCATAAATGGCATTGCTTTATTATTTTCTTATGTCCTTACATTAAACATGCTAATTTTGTTGTCTTTTTGTATTTCAAGAACGCTCCATGATGTGTTTCCACATATTGAATTGGTTGCTTTTATCTCCATTTCTTCAGATAGAAGGAGAGGAAGCCCAACGTTTGTCAAAGCGCCGATTAGAACGAGAAAGAGGCCGCCGAGATGCTACTGCTGATATGTCAGAAGATTTGTCTGAAGGAGAGAAAGGAGATGTTGTTGGTGAGTTGTCTTCCCATGGAGATAGCACAAGAGGGAGAATGCCTAGGATCAGCTCAATTGATGCTCTTGATGCTTGGGCCAGTCAGCTTAAGGAGAAAAAGTTGTATATAGTGTTAATCAGGTAAAGCTATCAATTCGTTTTCTATTAAGTCACTCTTGTAAATTGACTTGAATTATCTTTGTTTCTTAGAGACATGTCTCAATATCCTTGTTACTGATAAGTAAAAGCTAATTCTAGTGTGCACACTAGGATCTCATTAATAATTTAAGAATTGGTAACAATCAAATTCTTGTCTTGGTTTGATCTTGGCTAAGTCGCACAATATGTCATATCGTCCATATTTTTTACATCTAGATTCATTTTATTTTATTAATTTTCTATTCGAGAAAAAAGGTCAAAATAGGGAGTTTTTTCTTCGAATTTATGAATTTGACTTATCAAATTTCATTAGTCAAACATTCTCATCTTCTATTTTATTAATTTTCTCTCATGGGTCTCTTGTTCAAAGTGATGGTGATATTGATGGGGATGTTATTAGTAGAATTCAAGTTGGTTTGTTGAAGTGGAAGAATGCTTCGGGCCTAGTGTGTGACTAGTGTGTGATAGAAAAGTATCGCTTAGACTGAAAAGAAAATTTTATAAGATAGTG